AGTGTAGAGTGAGGAAGATGGCTGAGTTTGATACAGTGCTCTTCCTGCCCTGTGATCATCACTGCTGTGTGGAGCTTGCTGCTGATGGGAGTGACGTTTCTCAGTCCCCCAGATGTCCTGGGGAGAAAAGATTGGCCACCACCTCCTAGGCACACCCTTCCTCTGACTCCCCATCTAAGGAGGTTCAGCCTGCAGCAAACAAGTGATTGGTCCACCTCCACCTGGCACTCCTATTGCCCACCCTTCAATGACCAGGTCACTCGTGACCTCCACACAGCAAGCCTGCACTGACTTCCCAAGCAGAGTTCATCCTATTTCATCACCTGAGATTCGTCTGTTTGCCCCATTAGACAGGCAAAGACTTGTCTCTTTTTTCAACTCCTAGTGCTGGGTGAGATGCTGAGCGGTGCTCTGTAAACATCTACCAAGGGACACAAGGGAAAACTGGCTCAAATCTGGACAGTCAGGGCTTGACCATGGTTTTAATGTCAAATATATTCTGTCCTAGACAAAATGTGTGAGGTAGTTAGACATCGCTTTCCCATCTGGTAGAGGAAAGCTTATTTACTTACAGACTCTCCATCATCTGCCCTCCAAACAGCAGCCATGGGCTGCCTCAAATCAAAACTGGGAAATTTGTACTACGACATGCTTCAAGCTTCTCCCTTACAACAGCCTCCACCAAATGATTCTAAGCTACAGATGAATAAGAACACAAGGTGAAGAGGGAATTGGGTTCTTTCCGCGTTTCATCAACAGTTCAGGTCAAATACTTCCACTGTTCTCACCACACTCCATGCTGGATGGTGCTGTCACCGTACCACTGTACACTCCAGGACTACTAGGGGCATTTTTCCAGAGAAAAACTGCTTCTTCCTCCAGGGGAAGAGAGGAAGGGGACTGAAACCACACAAAGGGGGTGGGCAGATTCATGCAGAAATAGGAGGAAAGTGGACAGATGGATTGAAAGAACTGCAGAGCACTTGTTGTTTACTGTGTGGGAAACCCAGTGCATCGGTATCACCTCACAGCCACACAGCCCTGTGGGCATGTCAGGAACACAGCAGTCCTTTTAACAGTCAGCATGAAAAATAAAGCATACTGCAATAATTTGGAACAGAAAGGAATAAAATTAAAGCAAAAAGCTGGACTGGGGAATGTAGCTCAGTGGTAGTCAGAGTGCTTGCTTAGCATGAGCAAGGCCCTGGGTTCGATTCCCAGCACCAAAAAAAAAAAAAAAAGTACAAAAACCTGTGCCTGGGTTATTCTCACTGGTTCAAGGCTTAGGAAAACGTGTATAGGGTAATATATATTTACAAATTACCAGAAAGTCAACCTTGTTGGCCATACCTGAAAGGTTGGGACGCTGCTCTGGGGTGGCCTTTCATGTCATCGGACCTGCAGAAACCAAAGACAGGTGCTCTACCATCACACATTTAAACAAACACCAAAGGCACAGCATACAGAGGAGCTCCGTAAAACTATTACATTGTCGAAAGGGAAAACCTTCCAAGTGGATATTAGTATTCATCCACTTCATAAAATAAATTCTAGAGCCAGAAGGAAACCCATTTTAGTCACCTTTCTTCATCTTGAATGTCATTTATGGCACACCCTGTATGATATCAGAAAGTGATATTATAGCCACTTTGGGTTAAATATGTGCCATGATGGTATTAAGAAAACTAAATTCCAGCCAGGCACTGGTGGCTCACGCCTGTAATCCTGCTACTCAGGAGGCAGAGACCAGGAGGATCATCCTTTGAAGTCAACCCCAGCAAAAAAAAAAAAAAAAAAAACACCAAAAAGGGCTGACGGAGGGGATCATGTAGTAGTGTGTGTCTGCCTAGCAAGTAGGAAGGCCTGGGTTCAAACCCTAGTACCACTAAAGGGAAAAAAAAAAAAGAAACTAATTTTCAGAACCTGAGAAAATTTCTGAGAATTACAAAGACAGAAAATCATATAGGAACAAGTCTTCTGAAATGTGTGCCTATATATCTTTTGCCTATTTATTTGCCAAGCTATACTTTTCTCTAAAATATCCCTCCCTCCCCCTTAAGCTTTCTTTTTAAAAAATCTTAAAATTGACTTAAGATGTAGCTCAGTGGTAAAGTGCTTGCTTAGCATGCCTAAGGCCCTGGGTTCAGGTCCTAACACTGCCAAAAAAAAAATCTTAAAAACAAATATAAATCTGTTTGAAATTTATTTTAATCACTATAGATCAATTTCTTAGAGTTCTGAGGGAAATGGTGAGTGAAAAAGAGGCAACGTAAACTGATCTTCAGGAACCTTCCATTAACTTAGAGAGGCAATGCATGAAGTGAAAGAACAGAGACCATGACCAGTCTTGGGTCTGTAATCAGCTCCAATTCCAACTCCATCCCACTGGGAAGCAGCTTATCCTATGTAACAGCGAGCGAGCAACCCAACATGGCTGGCGGGGTTCTCTACCTTCTGTGTTCACTCGGTTAACCCTCATAGTCAAACTAAGCACCTAGCATGCTGGCTGCCCAGGCAGGTGCTAGGTTAAGTGGTTCTTCTCCTCCATGTTCTGGTGGCAATTACTAAGCACCAGGTTTGCTGGTGCATTTTACTACAGAAGACCATTGTTTCAATGTGAACTTGCATTTCTTAGATTAGCAAATAGCGCCTCAAGATTGGATCTGCATTAAGCATAACACATGGAAACTAGGCTCCTTGTGAATCTGGAGGCTTCGATAGCCTTCCTGCAAGGCACAGCTCTCATTAATAAGTCAAAGAAAAGTAGTCATTTTCCATCGTGCTCATTGGCCGGGGCCTTGCCACTCCTCTCTATGTAGCAAGGAATTGATGACATTTATAGAGTCTGGAATCTACATTGATCCTGAAGCCTTGTCTGTCTTGGGTTGTTGTTTGGTTTTTTTTTTTTTAATGTGATCTTAACTATCATCAGGTTTCAAATGCTGTGGTCAGAAGTCAGGTTCCATCATCAATTGTGAGGAATACTTTTGGACTTCAAAATCAAAATGGTCTGTGATTTTTATAGGCTCATGGACGAAGCACTTGTTCCATTTTCAAAACTAGAAGGCAAAGCCAGGGAACTCTACAGTAGGATAAACCAAGGACTTGTACACACACTCTAGCTTTAGCACAAGTCTTACCACACCCGTGAGGATTTACCACAAGACTAGAGACCCACTCATGGCAGAAGGGTAGAACTCAAATAGAGTTTGGAGCAGAGAACCAGAGAAAACTAACTTCTTAGCAGCTTAAGGAAGAATTCCAGAGACTGAGATGCAACCATTGCTTTCAGTAAGCTTCTAAAACTCAGCTACTCTCAACAGTGTTAAAATACAGAATAAATAAACAACACAGGGGCTGGAGGTGTGGCTCGAGTGGTAGAGCGCCTACCTAGGAAGCATGAGGCCCTGAGTTCAAACCCCAGTGCCACCAACAATAGTGATGATAATAATAAAAATAATATAAACAACACAAGAATAGTGAATCAAAAAACTTGGTATTTGTAGAGTGATGTTTATAAGAGAAGATCAAAGGGTTTCTCCACAACTGGAAACACACTAAGAACTGTGCAAGCTTCAGGCAGATGTACCTAAGTGCGCAGGATGGAGAGGAGAGTGGCTGTCTCTGACTTTTTAAGGCACGAAGCTTGTCTCCCTGGGTTATGCTGGTTGTCATCTCCACATCTTCATCATCTTCTAAATTATTCTGGAGAAAAATGCACGTTCCATAGAAAGGTCATTACAAACAGTCTTTTTAATGGGTGAGAGATTATCTGTTTATAGATACATCACATGTAAATTATCTTAGTATAGCTTATCACACGTCACTTAAACGTGTATAAATTCAACATGGTCCAGTTGCTCAACTAATTGCCATTTAAATATACTAGTCAAATTCCAAATCGAAGAAACACAGGTACGGATGTGGTAACGTGTGAAAGGAGCTGTCTATTACCACAGACCATGGCAAGGTCACTCTCAGGTGACACATCATGCTGGGGAGCACAGCCTAACTCGGACTGCTCCACAGAGACAGCCCAAATACATTTCCAGATTCTGCCAGGAGCCATCGCTGCAAATTCCATTTGATTACACAAATAAAAGATAAATATTTGGGGCAGCTACACAGTAACTTAGTAGCATCGTTACTAGGAAGAGCACTCATTTCCTGTCCAGGAAGAGGAAAAGGACCAGTGACACTAAATTGGGAAGGTGTGTTTCCTTCTGAAATAAGTTTTATTAGTGTGGAAACCACAAGTGCCCTGTTAGTTTCCTGCACACCAGTTTAAGAGGAGCAGAAGTGACAGAGAGACAGCCAGCTAAATTGTATCTATCACAACCACGAGGCAATAGAATAAAGGCCCAAAATTTATTTTCAAAACAACAACATAAGCAAGATATTTGGAAATAAGGCAGTGAAAATATCACAGAGAGAGAGAGATTGACTTTTAGAGTCAGAATTCAATGCTTTTGATATTTTTAAAGCTATGGTCATATGCTACTTAAAAAAAATAAAGGCTAATTTTACAGGCTGTACATTTAAAAAGAATAACAGTTATATTCAAATTTTTAATTACATGTGGTTTTCTATTGTGAATTTTAAGGTCAAACTTTTTTTCTTAATTATGACACATTTCAAAACAAAAAACAACAAAAATACTATACCACACTGCTGTGCACTGTGTAACACATATTGTTTTACTTTCTCTTAAGCTTATTTATATTAAAGCATTCTCTCAGCTGGGCACCAGTGTCTCATACCTTTAATCCTAGCTACTTGGAAGACTGAGATCAGGAGGATTAAGGTTCCAGGGAAAACTCATGGAAAAAAAGCTGGGCGTGGTGGCATGGCCTGTCATCTGAGTGGAGGATGGTGAGCCAGGCCAGCCAAGGCAAACAATGAGGCCCTATCTCTAAGAAAACCAGAGCCAAAAGGGCTGGGGACACGGCTCAAGCAGTAGAGCTCCTGTCCAGCAGCTCAACGTCCTGAGTTCAAACCCCAGCTGCTAAATAAATAAATAAATAATAAATAAATAAATAGCACCCTCTCTCAAAGAAGAATAAAAGCAATATAGCTCTCAACTCCAGAAAGGAAAATCATGCGTTTTCCTCACAATATTAAAAAGTGTGTGTGTGTGTGTGTGTGTATCCTTACTCTTTACTCTTTATTTTTCATATGAAAGTACAGGTAAGCACAATAAATACTAAGCCCACCTATGTATTTACCAAAAGAAGCCAAACACATTAACACTTTGGCTTACAGTCTTCCAGACTTCTCTCTGTGCTTTACCCATCCCCTCAAACACACGTCTGTCTTATAAAAAGAAATTGCATTATATATTCTGCTTTCTGACTTGGGTGCTTTTTTTTTTCCATTAAAATATATACTGTGAAAGTTTTGGGGACAAATAAAAAAAGTTCTTTCAGAAAATTCCATTGTGTATATCTGCCAATCTCTATAAACACATGGTTTTCTGAACACTGTCCTGTTGCTATTGCCTTGAGACCAATCCATAGAAGTGGAACTGGTACGTTCACTTGAAAGTCAGCTTCTACGTTAACACACGGCCCTAAAATAGCTGTACTGTTCTAAACTCCAACTCGCAACTGTACGAGCTTCATATTCCTTAAATCTTTGCAGATCCTGCACACATTTCCTTATCCCATATAAGGCATAAATAGTGCCTCATCATTTAAATTTGTGTTTCTTCCATTACTAGGGAAGTAAGACATGTTTTATGTTCAGCAGTCATGAGGGCTTCCATATTGTTTTATTAGCAGTCATGTCATTTTCACAGGGATTTATGAGACTTTTGTGCCTTCTAAGAACCTCATTTGTATATATTTCAAACATGTCCTTCCAGTCACTCACTCTGGAGAATGGACTGGAGAAAGGAAGGGCTGGGGGCAGAGGGGACAGTTACATGGTCCCTGTGATGGTCTTGATGACACATGGATGGACCAAGATAAGGGAAACACTTGGGGAAGGAGGAAAAAGAAGGGGGAAAGATCTACACAGCAGGTGTGTCTGAAGGAACCTACTAGAAGTCATGTCAATGTTTGTCTACGCTGATCTGTCCTTATTTTGTTTCTCTCACTGTTGTATCAATTTGAGAGTATTTTTAGGACTAAGAGCTATAGAAGACAGAACTATAAAATTGTCAGTAAATGATTTATAGGTGATGGCCTAGCTGTCAAACTCTTGACAAAAAGTTATACAATGTTATAACTTAATTGAGTTACAAAATAAAGAAGTTAAAAAGCTGTATGGAAAGGGATGTTGGCCTCCTACGTAAATGTAACTAAGTGTGCATCTATTAGGGGATCAATCTTACACGCCAGGTCATGGGAGGTACAATCAACCTGGCACGTCGATGGAGGGGCAAAGGGGGCACAGGTTGAAGAGGGCTCTCATCAGGTGCTCCCTTCTTCATACCACCTTCAGTTCTCATGATGACAATCGAACACATTCACAAATGACAAAGATGGGAACGCCAACCTGGAGCTCCCTCCTGCTCTTGAGCTCCAGCCCCTCTCCGTACATGATATATTTATTTTCTCTCTCTCACTCTCCCTCCCCACCCCAGATTGTCAGGGAGAATCAGATTACCTTAACTCTACCAAAAAGAAACAAAGCCCCACGACTGTTGGAGACCAGTGATAAAGAAGCCAGGCGTGGGGATGCACACCTGTAATCCCAACACTCAGGAGGTGGAGGCAGGAAGATTATGAGTTCAAAGCCAGGCAGGGCTACAGAATAAGATCCTGTCTCAAAAAACAACAAAGAAGAAGCCTAACCCGGGGAGACCCTCATATCTCTGACCCCCAAACAAAAAGGGTCTCTCTATAAGTCCCCATTGCCCTTTGAAGGGTTTGAGGATCAACACCTTTCTTTTGGATACAAGATGCTCTCTATAGAGGCCGGAAGGTATCAGCAAACTAAAATACCTAAAAAGTACAAATTTTAAAGATGCACTTATTTACAGGTGACAGCCTAGCTAAAGCACAGAAGTGCAAAGAATGAAGCTTGATTATATTCAGCCATTGTTCTCTCCATGTAGACAAGACGAAAACCACAGTAAAATACGTAGTGTCCATAGGTTTCAGTTGGATAAATTAGTGACCAATGCACTGATAAAATGGTGGCAGAGTCAGCTTGGTAGGCTGTAGAATCTGCCAGTAAGAAAGATCTATTAAGGCTGGAGGAGTGGCTCAAGTGATAGAGTCTGCCTAGCGAGCGGGAGGCCCTGAGTTCAAACCCCAGAAGCAAACAACAACAATAAAGATCAATTAGAAAAGCATAGCACTTTTTAAGGGTTAATGATAGGAGAGAGACCATCAGAAAATACATAGAACACTGAAATAGAAATGAGTAAAAACAGAAATCAAAAGGCTGGATGAGAAAGATGACAGTGCACTCCTGTCATCTCAGCTACTCAGGGAATCACGAATAGGAGGATTGCAGTCCAGGCCAGCTGGAACGTTAAAGCAAGACCCTATCTCAAAACTAACCAACACAGAAAGGGCTGTGGCTCAAACAGTATAGCACCTGCCTAGCAAGCGGGAGGTCCTGAGTTCAAACCCAAGGACTGCTTAAAAAAAGAAATCTCTACCATTAACAGAGCAGATCACCTAGCTGGGAAGAAAGATACAGACCATGAAGCAGGGAGCTGGGAGTTCAGGCTGGACCCAGGGGCTGTGTGCATTGTCCACAGTGTCTAGACCAGCACAGAGGACCAGGCTCAACAAAGGAAAAGCCCTGGTTTTAAGGACTCCTCCTAATTCTGAGTGGCTAAGCAAATTCATTGTAGTCTCAGCCTAGACCATGACTATGAGCTGTCTCATTCTGGTTATTGTTTTCTTTCATCTACCTCCTGAGCACTGAGAAATCACATATTCAAAAATCTCTAAATCAGGTCATGACAGAGCCTCTTAATAGCCAACCACCAGAAAATTCTTATAGACCTAAAAAAAAAAAGTAACTTAGAATCTCTGTTTTCAATCTTGTACTACTGTTTTAAAGGCAGCCTCTAGAATAGTATAGCCTTTCACACTTTATGTACAAACTAAATAAATCCAGAATGTCCATGGGCTTCTACCCCGACACTGGCATGGACATTGAGGCACACTAAAATCCTTATAGCATTCCTGACAATTTAGATCCCACCAGCTCTTCTGTGAGTCCCGCTGGTGCTGGACCTGGGGCTGACACCAGGTGGAAGAGCTGCTTGCACAAAGCAGCATGTGCCTGTAAAGTGGTCCAAAGCCACAAGTTCACTGGGTAAAACACTGACCACGCCATCATCCTGACATCTCTGAATTCCTTCATTTCAGTACTCTAGTTACAGAAATGAGAATACTTCTGAACAGCTAAAGCTAAAATAATCATTTGATTGAATGTGATGGTATCCACCAAATTTACATGTTTGTGCCCCTCCCTGCCCCCACCAAGAATTCTTATGTCAAAACATTAGCCCACAAGGTGATGGTACTAAGAGGGGGGGTCTCTGAGAGGTAATTAGATCATGAGTCAGAGCCCCCATAAATGGAATTAGTGTCCTTATACACAATGGAATTTTATGCAGCCATGAAGAAGAATGAAATGTTATCATTCGCTGGTAAATGGATGGAGTTGGAGAACATCATTCTGAGTGAGGTTAGCCTGGCTCAAAAGACCAAAAATCGTATGTTCTCCCTCATATGCGG